CATTGCCCTCAGTGGCCCATTGTTCCAAACGAGCCCGATGCTCGATGAGGGATTGGACTTGCTGTTCGACTTGATCAACTCGGCCGCTGGTGTCAGTGGTCTGAAGTTCTTGAACAATGGTGGCCTTGACCTGATCACTCAATCGTTGCTCAACATCGTCAATCTTTTGTTGCACATGTTGAGAAGGGGGTGCAGGTGCTTTCGTGGAAACTGCTTGATATCCCCCCCAAGGATCACGACCCGAAGTCCAGGGATCGACTGCAGGAGTGGAGGCAGGTGCGGAGCGAACGGTACCAATGTGCTGCTTAGTCTTTGCAGTAGCGATCAGATGCTGAGTAGGCTGAGCTTGAAACTGGTCTTTCACCTTGGCAATGCTGACCCATCCATGTTGTGCCTGAATGAACTGGCTGGGTGGCGGAGCTTCGGCACCAACTGTCCACGCACGGCCCTGGGAACCTTTGCAAGGTTGCAAAGGCTTAGCACGCCATTGAATGGACTGCAAAGTTTCTGACAACGATTGCCGTTGAGTTCCAGCTGGCAAGGGTTCCAATCGATACACTTCACGAATGACACAGTTGACAAAAGGTACCTGTGGCCTCAGTTCTTGATGGACTGTCTCATGGTGCTTCGCCAGGCATCTAACCCCATACTTCAATCCAATGCGACATGCGGCTAGGCAATGGTCAATTGTCTTGACTTTGTGCATGATGTCTTGCAGACTGGATTGTGGCACCCAGACAACAGCAAAAGCGGGGTCTGCCCCAGGCGAATCTTGGCATCGTGGCTCAAAGAAAACTCCTTCCCCTCCGGATGCACTGTGCAGGTACGCAAACGATGACTCTGGGACACGGATGTAAACCGACATGACATCAGCATCGACAGGACTTGACTTGGATCCATCATTCTTTGTCCAGCGAAAAGCCCAGACATCGATGAGCCCTGATTCAACCCCAGATTCCTCAATTGACGGATGGAAAGCCCCGCAGAGCGAATCACAATCTGGGTTACGACACAACTTGAGGACAGAGAACTGCTGAACCAAAGAACGAACCGGGTGTGCAATCATATCGTTCCAATCATGTGACAAAGTCCACAAGTCCTTGAAAACATGCAAACGAAAAACCCTGGTTGGAAAAACGGCCAATTCTGGTGCTTTCTGATTTGTGAGTCGATAAACTGCCTGATCACCCAATTGCACTGCGACCACATCGAGAATGATTGGCTCATTTGTGCCTCGGTAGATCGCAGGAACACGCAAGGAGTTTGTCGGAAGTCCAAGTGGTGCAGCCTCAGGAAAGAGTCCAACAACCAACACTGAAAGACCTTCAGGGGAAATGGATTTTCCTTCTGCCAAAAAGGGTTGGATGTCTTGGTATGATCCGAACGCAATCCCTCGAGCATTTTTTTGCACATCTGTGATGTTAATTTGCTGGAGTGCTGTTCCATCATTAGTGATGAAAACTCCTGCTGGCAAGACAAGGCTCGCAGGGTCAAGCTGGATGGCCTGTGCTGACTTCTTGGGTTCTTTGCTTCGTTTGCCTTTCTTTCCATCAGTTTCAACTCCAAATTGGGAAATTGAACGGTCCCGGATGTGGTTTTGGAGCTCTTCGTGAGTAACCCACATGAAAGGCTTGGGCCTAGAATTTCCAAGCTGTTTCAAAGACATCCATGTGTTCTTAGCTTGTAACGCACGAGTGATGGCGGCAAGTCCAAAAACCTTGATGGCTGCTTGGGCACGATTCTTGACTTCGGATGGGGGTACTCCATGTGATGGCAGAACCTGTTCTAAAGATCTGATGACAGCATTCTCCTCAGCCCCAAAACCAATTGGACTGTGGAGACTGGACATACTACCACAGATAGCCAGACTCTCATGCAATGTCTCAAACTGCATCGCTTGATCCCAAGTCAAGAGTCCAAGCAAAAGTCCAAAATGTGCTAAAGCAATGGTGCCACATGAATCCTGTCGGGTCTGCGGAACTTCCCACGTGGTTTGGACAGTGATCCGCTGCACGTTCCAGGCTAACTTCAAGGCTTCCACAACTGGAGTCAACTTTTGAATGTTGGTGCATGCCAGTCCGTCGAACTGAGTAATGCTCAAACCATCCTGTTGATACTGACAGTGCAAAAAAGTCCAATGGCGGTCGATCAAAACAAAGATGTACAACTGATCACCTGTCGCCTGAAAAGGTTTGGTCTCACAAACAAAATCCAAGCCTGCTTCATGGCCAATGCTCACTACCTTGATCTGGTCAACCCCAAAATCCAAAGGTCGGCTGCAAGTCCAAGCCCTTGAGAAATCCAATAGAAACTTGGCCGTAAGTCCAAGGCCTAGGTCTGAATTGCCTGACATGGAAACCGAGTGAGGCAGTTGAGCCGAAGAAAGTCCATAAAGCAGAGTGAGTGAGCATGTCGCTGCGGTGTCCCCATTGCAGTCTGGGAAGTCCAAAACGCGATGTTGCTGCAGTGCCAATGCAACATGACTGGGCAAATTCAACTCACAGTCCAGCAGTGCAAAAATGCGCTCCAATGTGCCTGGAAGTCCAAACTCATTTCCACGCTGGATATAGGTCTCGGATGACCATTGTCTGCCACTGGCAGCCTTTGCCCTGAAGGCCAAATAAGCTGCTGATGCCGACACTTGACTTTCGGGCTCAAAGAACAAGACGCACGGAAATCTTGAGCAAATTCCATCCCCACTGTTCTAGAACAATGGCATAAACACTTGTGTGCGACACGGAGAGCCATGCTCGCAAATGGTCTTCAGCAGTACTAGGCCACAACTCAACCACCGCAGCTGCAAAAGAAGGAAGCCAGACAGTCAGGGATTGGAAGTCCGATCCAGCCCAGGAAACCAACAAATTTGACTTGACCAATTGGTCCACATGCCAGAGACCAGTACCACCCCAAGTTTCGGTGACACAAAGACCCGGAGTTCTGTGGACAGAGTCAAAACCAAGTCCATCAAGTCTCATGAGCAGCTCAAATTCCACTTCCGCAGGGTCAAGTTGCACGACAATCACGATCCAAGCTTGAACCCGATCTTTGATATCAATTTGAGCCTGGTGTTCATTGACAACTGACTTGTAACCGACAATGCCAACCCAAGAAAGCGCAGCGGCAATCGAAAAACTGGCCGGGACGACGTACAGTTTCCGGACCCCAAGGTGATCAATCAGGACAGGCACTGGTTGAACTGGGAAGTCAGTGAACGAAGTTTCCAAGGTGACCTGATACGTCCGTTCTTGCACGTAAGCCCATTCTGGCAGTTCCAGGCCTTGACAGCTGAGACTGATTTTGCGGGGATCCAATTGCAAAGTGGCTTCTGCTCGAATCAAGTCTCTGATGGTCTCTCCAGTATGGAAAGAAACTGAAACCTGGCCTTGTGGGAAATCCAAAATGGCTTGACTAACACCTGGTATTGGGCTTGGCCAGGTGACATCACGGTGCAAAACAATGGCCTGCAAATATCGACAAATGCATTCCCTTGGTGCAATGTCGTGCATCAGATGAAAGCCTTGATACAGTTGAGACAAAATCCAAATCACCTGGACCGGGGACACTGAGTTTCCAAGCAAACACAACTGCGCCCGGCAATCAGAAAGAACACACTGCAAAGGAGGAAACCCAAGCAAAAACTGAAGCTCTTTGGGATGGATATGTCTTGATGCATGAGGCCACAGACCCGAGATGATTTCCACTCCTCGCAAACCCTTAGCTTTCAAAGTACGTGGGTGAAAACCTTGAGCTCGGCAATTGCATGGGCATTTGTATAGAGCACTACCCCACGAATGCAATGCTGTCGGAAGTGGCTGGCTCAAGTCAACCCTTCTATCAGTACTTCCATATGCAGGGTCTTTATAAGTCTGCGATTCCATCTCTGTCCACCGAAGTTGATGTTCTTCCGCATCATTCCAAGTTGGCCATTGGGTAAAAGGGATCAAATCTCCTACAACTGGCGCAGGGCTCAATTTTGGCATCTCTTGCAAATGAAATCCAAAGCACTCAGGGATCACCAATGCAAACCACCGTGTACGTCTGGAGGGCCAGGTGTCATGGAGGTGGACAATCCTTTGATGGATAGTGAAATTCATCAAATTGGCAAACTCGTGCAAAACAGCTTGAGTCCCCTGATCTGTGTATGCTTCGGGCACACACTCCAAGCAAACTCCTGAAACTTGGAGATAGTACGCCGCTCGCAACAGAGCAGGCAGAACCATACTTCGACTATCCGACTGACGCCTTTGTGCTCCTTGTCTCGAGAGAGGTTGGCATGGGAAGCCTCCAACCAGCAAAGGCTGCACGCCAGAGAGGCACTGCTGGATATGCATTTCAAAGATTGTTTCACTCAAAGTGATATCTCCAAGGACAGCTGTGGCAGCATGATTCAACCTGTACGCAGACAGAGCAAGAGGACAGAGATCGACGGCGGAAACAACGCGGCCAGGGAGTCCACAGGCCGAATGCAGAAAATCCATGGCAGTAGAAAAACCCCCCATGCCACAACAAACGTCATGGACGAATCCAAGATCACGAAAATCAAACGTCTTATGTTTTTGGGGGGGAAGCCAGGGTCTGGAGTCAACATCTCGGCATCTTGCACCTTGCGTCCTGATCGTTTGACATTGTAGAGGGTCATCAGACCTTCTCCCTGCACACCCTCATGAGGGATGGCCACACGAGTGCCGAACTGACATTCGACACCGAACAAATGATCACCCAACCTGCTGTCAAAATTGACCAAAACATTGATGTTCACACCCACAGGATGCTTCGAAACCGAAATGATATCCATGGCAACACAACTACCCTCGATCGTTCAGCCGACACGGTAAGACCTCTGGTAGGGGGATCGAGCCCAAACTAACATAGATGGTATAAACTTACCATTCCCAGGAAAATGGGTGGTTTATCATTGTTTTAAATTTTAGCCACATGATTGGATGATAATCCCAGATAATCCCGAAATCTCATCAAAAATCCGTCGAACATCTCTCCAGGCATCGTCTCAGCCGCCGATCTCCGCGCCTTCGTGGAAAAATTGGACGCCAAGGGACCCACAGAGCGTGGCGAGGCCGGGACAGATTTCATCAATCAATGGAATTTAACATATTAACCATCATTCAACGGGATTTAATGGCATTGAATGGAATCTTAATTGGGATTTAATGGAATCTTAATTGGGATCTAATGGGATTTAATGGGATTTAATGGGATCTTAATGGGATTCAATGGGATTTAATGGAATCTTAATTGGGATGGTGGGAATAGAATGGCCATATAACCATGGGTGAAATATGAATGGGGACCCCCAGTGGGATTGCTCCAACCCACGGATCAGTTGTTTGCCTCTCTTGTACCTCGGGTGTTGGGAGCAATCCTGAACAGGGGAGGGAGCTCATGGAATTTAATAGGGATATATTTGGATTTAATGGGGATATCATGGAATTGAATATGGAGAGTGGTCTCGTTTTTTTGTCACTGGTCCAATAAGAGGGATTTTTAGGTGGTACGATGGTGATATAATGGAATATCTCTGGATGGAGTTTTGCTGGTTCTGGGATATATTAATGGATGAATAGGAATTAATGGGATATCAATGGAAATATCATGGGAGAATATAATTAACCATATGTGATATGGATAATATATCTGGATGAATTATAATGACCTCACTGTTGCTTTACTGGAATGATGATGACGATTTGGGGGAATCATCCCCAAATAGTCTTATTTCGGAAATTTTCGTGTTAGCGATTGTTCAGCCAGATATGTGCAATGGTCAAAAGTTGTGTTCGAGCACAAAACACTGTGATTTCATAGGGATATGCAAGAGGATCTAGTGGCGTATATACCCTCTGGCAATTTAACAGTTTGCTATTGAAAATGGCCCATTATGTTTGTTAATTTACCTATTACAAATGGCGATTTTCGCTATGTTAGTTTCCCAGATGGTAGAACAACAATCAGAAAGCAGATGATATAACCATATTGGGGGATGATCATCAAATCCATAGAGGTATGTCATCCCATATTATATGCTTCCCATGGGATAGATGACATCCAAACAAACCGTGTTTTGACTCCACAAAAAATCATGAGCTTCAAAATAGACCACTCCCCAAAGTGGATGGATTCTGGTTTTAGAATGTACATATGAATGTACCATACTCCTAGATATTTCCAAAACAACAAGTTTTGTCTGAAAAATTCTAGGAACACCCCTTTCCACTGATGAAAATCATCCTGTTCCCCCATGATTTCATCGTCATTGTTATTCGGACAAAGCCACGCAACGAGCCATCATCCCACGGTGATCCCAAGGTGGGGCGGAAAGTGGTGGCAAGAGCTTGGGTGGAGACTTGGCCTATGGAAAATATGAGGCTTTGAAGGATCAACATGTGGTAAGTTCTCTTTTTTTTGGACAATCCCAGTTCTGAATTTCTGGATCGATACCTAGTTTGTTCATAGTTATAGCATGTTATAGCCTGTAAATACCATAGTTTTGGGAGGAACATGAATGAACACCAGCTATTTCCAGCTGTTTCTCTCCCGGCTAAGGATGCCGAGTTTGCGCCTCAGAGTTTCCAGCATCATTGACAAAGTTTAGCTACCGGGGATGCCCAAAATCCCATTTTTGGATGAGGAAAACCTTCTGGTTATGACTAACAGTTTGCCATGGTTATTACGATAGCCCATAGAAATAGATGGTTTACCTATTAATAGCATGGTGATTTCCATGGCGAACTGTTAAATAACCAGATGGTAATCCATAAGAAATTCCCATTTTGGATTGGTTTTCAGATTTTCCCCCCCCATTCCGGTGACTTCTCCCCTTCAACCGTCCCGTCGACCCACGTCACCAGGTTTAAGGCTCGTCTTCTGACAGACGCCAACAGCGCCTGCGCCTCCATCGGGGTCAACGCAGTGAATCCCACAGCACCCACACAGCTGGTGGTCTTCGAACAAACGCCCAAGGTGCGCGAGCCGAGCGGGCGTGAAGTAATGTGGGTCAAACATGGAAAAACAATGCCATAAACTTACCACCGACTGGGAATGGTAAGTTTATATGGTAAGTTTATACATGTTTATACCACCTATACTTTGATGGTGATGACTGGGGGACGGCTTATCACTTTTTTACCCACACTAATGGATATCAAACTATGGTTTATACCATCTATACCTCATATATTTATGGGAAAATTATGGGGATATGACTGGTTACACTAGAATGACAATTAAGTTACCAGTAGTACCGCACAAGGCGGTGGCGGAAGTTTCAAAAATAGGAAACCTATAGGAGAGGTTGGTTGTTGTGAATCAGGGATGGCAGAGCGAATCCACTGATGGACCGAAAGGTGCTTGATCTCTTTCACTCTTTCTCTCTCTTTCTCTCTTTTTCTCTCTGTTTCTCTATCTTTCTCTGATTATCTACCGACCTACCTACTGATCTATCTGTCTACCTATCTATTTATCTACCTATATATCTATCTCCCTATCTATCTATCTATCTATCTATCCATCCATCCATCCATCCATCTATCTATCTCTCTCTCTCTCTTTCATCTGTCTAGCTGTCTACCTGTCTATCTGTCTATCTATCTATCTGTCTATCTGTCTACCATCTATCTGTGGTGCAGTGTCATTCAGTGTAATGTAGTGCAGTGTAATGTAGTGTAGTGGAGTGTAGTGGAATGTAGTGTAGTGTAATGTAGTGTAGCGTAGTGTAATTTAGTGTAGTGGAGTGTCGTGGAAGGTAGTGTAGTGTAATGTAGTGTAGTGGAGTGTAGTGGAATGTAGTGTAATGTAGTATAATTTAGTGTAGTGGAGTGTAGTGGAGTGTAGTTGTGTAGTTGGAGTTGTAGTTGTAGTGTAGTGGAGTGTAGTGTGGAGTAAAGTAGTGTAATGTAGTGTAGTGGAATGTAGTGTAGTGTAGTGCAATGTAGTGTAGTGGAGTGTAGTTGTGTAGTTGTAGTTGTAGTGGAGTGTAGTGTAGTGTAATGTAGTGAAGTGTAGTGGAAGGTAGTGTAGTGTAGTGTAATGTAGTGGAGTGTAGTGTAGTGTAATGTAGTGAAGTGTAGTGGAAGGTAGTGTAGTGTAGTGTAACGTAGTGTAGTGGAGTGTAGTGTAGTGTAATGTAGTGAAGTGTAGTGGAAGGTAGCGTAGTGTAGTGTAGTGTAATGTAGTGCAGTGTAATGTAGTGTAGTGGAGTGTAGTGGAATGTAGTTGTGTAGTTGTAGTTGTAGTTGTAGTGTAGTGGAGTGTAGTGTAGTGTAATGTAGTGAAGTGTAGTGGAAGGTAGTGTAGTGTAGAGTAATGTAGTGTAGTGTAGTGGAGTGGAGTGTAGTGTAGTGTAATGTAGTGTAGTGTAGTGTAATGTAGCGTAGTGGAGTGTAGTGGAGTGTAGTTGTGTAGTTGTAGTTAGGGTAGTGGAGTGTAGTGTAATGTAGTGTAGTGAAGCGAAGCGAAGGGACATCTGAACCTCCAAAAGTGGTCCGAACCCCTAGTGCTTTTAACATTTTGACTTCGAAATGTGCTTCGCACCACAACGGCGTGCACTTTTTCCACATCGGAACCTCCAAAAGTGGTCCGAACCCCTTGTGTTTTGTACATTTTGACTTGGAAAATGTGCTTCGCGCCACAACGCCGTGCACTTTTCGACATCTCAACTTCCAAAAAAAGTCGTCGAGAATGGTGGGCTTTGTTACATTTTACTTCCAAATGTGCTTCGCGCCACAACGCCGTGCACTTTTTCGTCATCTCAACTTCCAAAACTGCTCCGAACCCCTCAGTTTTTAACACATTTTACTTCCAAATGTGCTTCGCGCCACAACGCCGTGCACTTTTTCAACATCTCAACTTCCAAAAGTGGTCCGATCCTGAGGTGCTTTGTACCTTTTCACTTCGAAATGGGCTTGCGCCACAACGGCGTGCAACTTTTCATCTCTCATCTCCCCAGATGTCTCCGCACCCGCCGCTTTAGCGAGCCTACTTTTCAACCCTCCGGGGCCACAAAACCACGAAAAAACACACTGTTTCGAGACTTTCCTACCTTTTCGCGCGCCTGCATCTTCTTTCTTCTGATCTTTTCTCTTCTGACTCTTCTCCCTACTGACTGCTTTTTCATCTCTCCATATTGTCGGAAGTTTGACTTCTAAACTTCCTTCGATTAATGGATATAACATTATACAACCACTATGACAACGAGTATCTTACTATATCTCTATGTTAGGATATGGAGCTATAACTACGTTTATTGATGGTTATTGATGGATATACCTATGGGCTGTTAATCCCCATGCTTGTTGGGATATGGGGCCCCGAAAAAAACTATGGTGAAATCTATCCATTTGTAACCGGAAGAAGAATTCAATGGAACTGCGGCAAAGAGAATTTCAACTTTGGGTCACTGAAATCCAAGACCTCCGCAGTGAACCACTCAAGTCGCGCCATAGGAGCATCACTTGATCGTGTGTACCCTTTGCCACTTGGATCACTTGGCTGGGGGTATCCCTGTGGGGACCTCAAAGTTTCTGTATGTTTCTGTTAGGGTCAGACAAACACAGGGATGAAAAGCCAGGGAGTCATGTGCATCATGATGTTTGGAATCCTGCCGGAGAACTATGGTCAGTGGCCTCATTTCTTGGTCAAAGTGACCTTTTTTCATCCAAAAATTCTGAATGTATTTTGGCTGTTGCCACTGTTGCCCAAACTCTCACTTCAGTTGAGTTGGGTTGAATTCTTGTTTTCTTGCTTTGAATCGCCGTTCCGTTGTTGCTTCAGTCCCATGAATTTCTCTTGGTTCCATCCCAAGGTGTTTTTTTTTCGATCGCTTCGACGCTCAAGGCAGCTGTTACCCTTTGCCACTGCTGGGACTCTCCCCTGACTGGTGCGAACCATTGGAGATGGATGGAGGTTCAAGGAAAATCTACAGGAAACCTTGGCCGTAAACGGCCTTAGCCTCTGGTAAACTGACATAGCTATGGAAAATCACCATTCTTAAAAGGTAAAGCAACTATAAATGGGCCATGTTCAATAGCTAAGTTAAATTACCAGAGGGTACCATCTAAAATCTACAGGCTGTTTCCGGTAATTTGTCTAATCAATTCCAGGATTGGATGGAGTGGCTTCCACATTTTTCCAACCCCATCTGAGGATAGAACAACCGTTTGGGATGATTCCTGTAATGAAGTGCCGGATTACCATGATAGGTGACTTGCCAATACTTGCCATACAGCTTCAGGAAAAGAACTTCATCTGCTGGAAACCTGTTGCCGAAATTTCCAGGGCGAACGCCGTGTTTTTTTTCTGAGTCGAAGCTCCAAGGCGTTCCAAGGCACTGTCCCCAATGATGATCCCGCTGTTTCAGATATCGATGTGCTTCGGGTGTAAAGTTGGGGTTTGGATATCCTAAAAACTGTACCCTACATCCAGCCCCAGCATAACTTGGGATTGCCAGTTAACTGCTTGAGGGATTCACCCAACGATTTAACAGTTTTTTTGTCCCCATAGCTGTGGTCTGGCCCGTGCCCAGAAAAAAATCCCATCAATACGTATGGACATCTTTCAACTTTTTGTTATCTGGTTGGTGGTTTTCAAACATTTTTCAAGATGGTTAAAACCACCAACCAGTCATGTAAATATGCAGTTATATCAGTCAATTCATGCTAATTCCATCATGTTTGTTCGTGTTTTGTTATAGCTTCATCCTGAATGTTACCATTAAAAATTTACCCGTTGTGACTTGACTGAAATAACATGGCTTGTCTCCCAACATCTGATGGATTAGCACCTCATGTTTTCTTTTCCCAAAAAAAAATATGGCCAAAATGTTCCGAAGTCGGACAATGGGTTTATACTGCCATTCGCCATTCTTCAAGCTGGATATTATCCATATATCCACAACATGCCATATCATACTGTCATTCACCATAAACAATGGGTTTATCATGGTTTATCCATATCACAATATGAACAGGGCTGGAATTCCACACCATGGTCCAGGTACAAGTCCCGGGAGTACCGCAGCCGCGCAGTGCGTGAGCCAAGGATGGTCTTGAAGGAGTTTGGCACGGAGCTGTCGAAAGATGTGCAGGTGCCATGCGTGTTGTTTTTGTTGGGGGTTCACCAATAAGAATTCTGATTTGAGCAACAAAAATTAGATGATTTCTCATGGTGATTGAATTGTTGATTGAATATGATTGAATGGGATAATGGAAATATCGTGAGAATTTCATGGAAGGCAATTAACCATATATGATATGGACATTATATGGATAAATGGATAATCTGGATGAATCATAATGACCTCATTGCGCCACTGGAATGATGACACCATTGAAGTCAGCCAGAATTGTTTCAGTTCAGAATGAGAATGACAATAATAGTAATTAATGATAATATATATGGAAAATAATGATACAATATATGCTAGAATAATATATAAGAATATATAATAATATATGATGATGTATGATCATATATGATAATACATGATAATAGATAATGATATATGATCATGTATGATCATATATGATAATATATATATATATTTAAATAACTACATATAATATATATATATACATAGATAATATCTGATAATGTATAACAATCGATATTAAACATAATATTAATAATAGTGGATCATAGTAGATAATAGTGGATAATAGTTGGCAATAACAGCTAATAATAGATAATAGATGACAATAGATGATAATAGAAACTAAAATGTAATTATAGATGATACTAGAGTAGATAACAATAAATTGTGGCAACCCCACAATGATTATGGATACATCAAGATACATCAGGGATAAGTATGGAATATTTATCATGAAAATATCCCCATTTGGGTTTAAGTTTTTGCTGCACACTATGCCCATCTAAACTGCCATGGTCAAGTTGCATGCTAAAGATTCGTCCCAGGAGGACAGGGATGCTCACGATGCCCTTTTATCTTTTGGTCATGTTTCCTATGACCAACTATAAAGGAGTAAGAAGAAGGAGGAAGAGGAGGATGGTGCTGGTGATGATGATGATGATGATGATGATGATAATATTCAAGAAGGAATCAATGAGGATCTGGATAGAACCTACAATCAAAGGTGATAGCTGGCCCCTGGTTACTCTATCAGTTTACCCATCAATGGAACGTCACCATCACTCGCAAAGCAACATTGAGAGCCCCAATGGATGGTTGGGAAAATGATGTGGTAGTTATGGGTCAAAAACCTATACCCCTGTAGTTCACATCAAAGGAGCTGGTACGTTGGTGTTCGTACCCCTAGAGATTGTGCTTACAGCTATTGATCCATTGCTATTGCTCATCTCTAGATCCTTAAATCCAGTGTTTGATATCACAATTGTTTTTCACTAAAATGTGCCATTTGGGGTAATTATACTCCCTCCATAAAAATTTGCCAATTGGGGGTATACCATGGTACACCGGTATACCCCATTTCAGACCTCTAAAAAACGGCCCTTGTTCAGAAGCCTATGCTTGGTGCAGGTGGTGGTACACGACTCCACGGCCGACTGTCGCTACATGATTTTGCCACGGCGACCCAAAGGTCACGGGGACTTCGGATTATGTGATCTACTAGTGTTATACCCTCTGGTAATTTAACTTATCTATGGAAAATAGTGATTTATAGTGGATTTTCCCATTAAAAATTGTGATTTTCCATAGTTATGTTAGTTTACCAGAGGGTAGCAGGGTTTTTAAAGCTTGATCGTAAGTCATGTAAAAGGTTTTTTTTTAAACCATCATTTGATATGGGGACACAATTGGACTTAAGTGGATACAACTGATGATTGGTTGATGATTAGTGAGGTTAATAGATTATATCCAATATATTGGGGATTTTCACAATCCATGAACAGGGAATGCCTATCAACCAGTAGAAAGGGACGACAGAGGGTTTTGGGCACTGCTCAGACGTTGGTTATAAACCCCCATAAGTTGGTATATAACCCCTATAATTGTGGTTATATGATCCACTTACAGCTGGAACTGCACTTCCAATTATTATTAGGGTATATATGACATGTATACATATATATATATTATATATATATATTTTGCCAGAACCTCCAGCTTGGTCAACGCTAAAGGTCGTAGGCACTAACTAGCTTTGAATTAAAAGATATACACTCCTAAGGCCACGCTCACTTGTGAAAGTATAGAGAACAAGTTTCCGATTATTGCTAAGAGCCTTCACATTGATGATATTTCACATTGAGAGTAGTTCACACTGAAAGTGTCTCACACTGGAGAGCTTCACATTGAGAATAGTTCACACTGAGAGTCATTCACACTGAGTTTGAGCTGTGTAGTCTTCAACCGTTTCCTTTGTGAAAAGGGGGCTGGTAAAGATGGGCTTGTTCGATGATTCGTTCCCGTATCTCTCTGTTATATCTGTCGAATGGGATTTGGGGTGCCGATGGGTCTGTGTTTCTTATCACTTCCCATGCTTTTTGCATATTGTTACTGGTCCAAAACTGTCTGGGTCTTCCGACTCTTCGCATTTCAGTTTCTCTCGGGAGAGCGGATGTTGTTGAAAAAGTTGCTTGGTGAAGAGGGTGGTTTCTGTCTCTCCTGAGGATGTGTCCGAGTAATTTGAGTTTTCTTTCCTCCAAAATTTCGGTCAGAGGTTTGATTTTTCGATCGAAACCTGTAGTCGGCGCGTTAAGGGTTTCATTTGCCCTTCGGTATACGTATTCATTGGTGTTGTGGCGTTGTATGTATGTTGTGTGTAATTTCAGAATCTTTCGTGAGCCCTTGAGCTGGAACGTGTTAAGAAGACGTCCAGCTGACTCAGTTGGTTCCAAGGTTTCTAGGCCGTAGAGAACTTTGCTAGTAATTACTGCATTGAAAACGCGCAGTTTCCAAGATCTGTTGCATTGCGCTTTTCCCCAGAAAATGTCCAATTTTTTCAAAATGGCCATCGTAGCTGAGATTCGTCGTCTTATTTCATGTTTGGGATTGACCGTGCGAGTGATAGAAGCTCCTAAGTAAGTAGATTCATCGGTCGACTTCATGGGATCCCCATTTTGGAAAGCGATAGAACCGCGACAGTTGAAAGCAATGTAGCAACATTTTGACTTGTTTAGATTGAGGTCCAAATATTGAGATTCTTCTTCGATAAGGTGCAAGTATATGTACGTATATATCCTAATATAATATAATTGTGTTATTTGCTGCCAAAACATCAGTCCAAACACGGGTTGTCCAATCAAAGTGGCCCTTTGGCCGGATTCTGGGATAATCCCATCGCCGGTTTCGGGGCTGTTTCATATGAACGGGCATGGGATTCTTATGACCTTTTTTTCAGGTAAATCGAGAAAATCATAGTACATGATCCATGAATATGCCATGAATATCCATGATACTGATATGTTGGTGGATTTTTTTAGTGGATATGAAGACTTATTAAGAGGATTTTTTTAACTACGATATGTGGGTGTCAAACCAAATGGCCATTGACAGCCCCAGTTGTGGGTCACCAAATGTGACAGTTTCATCAGGATGAGACAATCATTCCGTAGATTTGAGGGACAGCAAAAACACGGTCCAAGTGGTTGACGATTTGAGGGAAGACTTCATGGTTCATCATTACTCCAACCAGACATTTCATGAAAAGCTTCATTGTTTTCATCGTCCTCTACATATATATATATATATAAGACAAGACGACTCATGGTTAAAAAGAAGGGTTGGTTAATTATAAAAACCATGGTCAACCAAGATTAACCACAATTCATATCCTCTCATATTCTGCTTCCGCCAGGCACTGAAGGCTGGTCGGAGGAGAAGTTACAGGAGATCATCAGCCGCGACGCGACGATCGGTGCGCCGTTTGTTTGCACCGTTGCCGTTGCTGAGGGGTTCGTTGGTCGAAAAGTGATGGTCATTTGGTGGTAATTTCGGTAAGGAGGTGCTGAAGTCTAGCGCGAACTGGGATTATTAGGCGTCAATTGAAGCCTCAAAATAGCCTTCTGTTCAACCCAAAATAGTTTTGATAGCTGATGGGGCTATTTCTTCGACTTTATACAAGTAGGCAGTGCCATGAGCGATATGGGGTAGATAGCAGATATATAAATGACCTGAAGATTTGAAGGTGATCCATGCAGAAAGTGACACGCTTCAAAAAGGGCTGCTTTTGGTGTTGACTAGATGGCTTTACTATGATTTACTGTATAATTTGTGTCGCACTAAAAATCTGCAAATGTTCGTCTTTCAGCAGGGGATCAGCTGAATTATCACAACTATACCATGAATGCTGGGTAGAATTGGGGGAATGGGAATCTTCCCACAAACGCTGACAATTTGTCCTAAGGCTAGGAATTGCACCGACTGCGGGGATTTCCCAGCTTGCCATGTTCATGACACCGTTGCTGGTAATATCCCAATGATTATCCCATTTGGAATTCCCATTGATATTCCATGAATATCCCATCATGCTTATATTCCCATGATATTCCCATCATCCAAATCAAGATTCCATTGAATCCCGTTACATGATGCTTAAATTCCAAGCAATTTCTCAACGAGCCGCCATTTTGGAGGCGTTACTGCGCTGCCGGAGTCTCTGAGCGGCTGAGAGTGATGACCATGACTTAGTAAAAGCGGCGACGACTGGGATTCCCCCATGACTTTGGAAACCCCAAGATCTGAAGAAATACTGGATAGTTTTTTTTGAGATGGGGGTTTCCAAAGTCATGGGGGTATGTACCCCAATATATAGCTGGATGGTTTATTTCATGGAAAAGCTCAACTATAAATGGATGATAACTAGGGGTACCCCATTTGGGGAAACCACCAGATATCCAATGGATGCCAAACATCGATTAAAATTTGACCATCTCCAACTGGCAAAATGAAAAAAAATACTTGGCTGCAGCACTGAGGTGGAAAAAACATGGTATGGAAAATCACCATTTTTAATGGGAAAACTCACTATAAATGGCCTTTTTCAATAGCTATGTTTGTTTACCAGAGGGTAACCATGCCTTCCCCATGATATCCAGCTAGATCCCGATCGATCGGCTCTTTGAGGTACAAGCCTAAAGCAGTGGCTATACCATGGCTGAAAAAACCACGTGCGACGGATTATACCTCCATTATTTGAAAATCTATAATGTTTTTTTACTGCAAATGCTTAAAGGCTTAAATCACAAATTTACCATTCATGAAACCACCATTTTGCATCATTCTTTACAGGTGCCAGGGTCCCTTCGCAAAATCCCACCCGAAGGAGCTGGGCGAGCTCATCGAAAAATACGACCTGGATGGGGTGTGGGGCCCTGACGACACGAAAACCGAACGGTCTGGACACTGATGTGATGGTTTCAATACGAAAAGTGTCTGATTTTAAGGATCTCGGGGTACCCCATTGTGAAACCTCCATGTCTTGGTGTGAAGCCAGGTTACCCTCTGGTAAAAAAATCACAGTTTTTGCCTGGAAAATCACCATCTTTCAGTTAAGTCATCATGATCATCTACAAATAGGCCATGGCTTCCATACCAACCTATTAAATAACCAGATGGTGTTTTCTAGCTTTCGATGACAATTTTGTCAAAATAAATGCGCCTGGCAAATGTTTGATGATTTTAAACTGAACGTTGTCAAAAATCATGTGTTGTTGATTTTTCCTGGAGGAGTGGGAGACCCAACTACAATATGGAGGTTTCCCCAAATGGGGGGTACCCCCATATCATCCATTTTAATAGGATTTTCCATGAAATAAACCAACCAGCTATTGGGGATTCCCCATTTATGGAACCCTCATAGATCATGTTTTCAATTGGTTTCAAGCTTCATTTGAATGATTCAGCACCGTTCCAGATCTCAAAATCCAAAAGGATCTCCAAAAACGACGAGGGGTGCAGGACGGAGGTGAAACATGGATATTACATTGATATTACATGATATAACCCCTATAACTATGGTGATATATATATATGTGCCGTACCTCTATATATATATACTGTGTATATTATATATATTATATACCCCATATTTTAATGATTCTTACTGGGTGTTACTGTATATGCTATGGGAAAATTGCCCCGGTAAGTTAGGATATGGAGCCCCTATATCTACTGTCATTAATAGAAAGAATTATGAGATTTTTAGGCCCATGTTCTTTGAGACATGGGTCCCTTTTAAAACTATGATGAACTGGAACTGCACCATGATGATCATCTCATATCTGGCTGGCTCAGGTGGATTACAACTGGGAATACCCTGGTTATCGTCGCACCTGGCATGAATTGATGTCAACCTAGATTCGCCGAGTCGATGATTTTCACGGTTGAGTTTCCCAATGGGAAATCACCACTGCGAAATCAATTTAGGGAAGAGTTGTTATGTTTAAGGGGGATCTAAGCAAATCAGGTTTTAAACCATGTTTGGTTCATAAACCCAAATATCTTGGGACGTATAACTGGGCTTACCATGAAGATCTCCGAAGGATAGAACTGGGCAGAACTATCATGTTCTGGGTGTAGTTCTGGCTTCATGTCGATCTTTCTACATAATGCGTGTTGCATGGCATAAAATCATCTAAAATCCCTGACTGAACCAATTCTTTTGGTTCATGATGTTCATGGCTTCATCCTCAGTTTCGCTGGGATTTAAGCAACAAAAAACGTTGCAATCCATTTCGTTCGATGATGTTCCCGAACGAAACCTAACAAAAAAGGCTCTGGGATTTCGCCACTTCAAAAATGACAGAGGGTCAAAAATCATTTTTTTAATCCCAGCTGTGACATCTCCATTCTTGTCTCCTGAACTCATCAAAATCCGCCAGGCTTCGGTCAGGGCTATTTGGCCGACACCGAGGCACGGGTTAGCGGACTACCGATTGACTATGAACTTAGTGGGAAAACAAATCACTCAAAATGTACCAAGTCAAAGAGAATCTTCAGACTTACTTAATGTTATGGTCTTCACTGATGTTGATTGCTGTTGATTTCTGTTGAGTGAATAAGATGGTTTAGTAGGGGATTCACACATATTTGGGACCACAATAAGGAGGTGCCAAAAATACTACGTTTGGATCTACGGATTGAGTTGTACCAGCAGGATATCAAGCGTTAACATGTTTGAACCCCTTGGGATTTGTCCAAAAAAATTAGGGATATCCCTAATTCATGGCAATTTGATGGTGGAACTTGGTCAGCTATCAGATTTCCCATGGTTTTCCCATGGTTTTCCCATGGTTTTCAGGTACAAAACCTCATCTGAAGCGTCCGTCTTTGACCCAGGTCACAGCGGACTACGACGGCCTGTCGAAGCTCTTGTGACCTCGCTGCGTTCAACGATAAGTTGATGATGGTATTTACTGGATCTTGTCAACATATGGGGGTTCCATAAATTTTACCTGGTAGTATTAAGAATAGCCATAATCAATGGTTAATGTATGGTTCATCTATAGTTATTCTGTATGCTTTGAGGATTTCCATAGTCACGGGGGTACCCCAATAGCTGTTTGGCTTATTTCATGGACAATCCTATTAAAGTTGATTGTTTGGCAGAATCAACAGAATATTTCATTGATACATAAACCCTTCAAATTATAGGGTGTTTATGGGGCTTTAAGCATCGAACGTATGGGAATATAGTTGAGGAAACTTTACATGATGCTTGGTTGATGATTAGTGAGGTTGGATTATACGGAGCAACGCAAATTTGGGGATTCCCGTTCTCAACCAGTGTCAAGGGACGACACAAGAATGATGGAAAGGGCAATGGGAAATGATCCATGAATGGAGGTTTTGATTGGAAAATCATCTATCTGGGTAAATTACAACGACCTCACTGTTCTCCCTCACTGTAATCATGGTTTATTTTAGGGGAATCATCCCAAAATGGCCTAACTTTTCAGGGAGGGGTTGGGTCCGCTGAAGATGGGAGGCCTTATTTCAGGTTAGAAAATTATTATAATTTGCCCAGATCTATAAATGGGGAATTGTCCATTGCCTTGTTTGATGACACCGGAGGGGTATGAGTCACTTACGACACAAGGATACTAATCGAAGGAAGTTTAGAAGTCAAACTTCCGACGATATGGACAGATGAAAAAGCACAGTTGGGAAGAGTCAGAGAAGAGAAGAGAAGAAGAAAGAAGATCAGAGAAGAGAAAGAGTCAGGAAAAAGAAGATGCAGGTGCGCGAAAAGGTAGCAAAGTCGCGAAACACTGTGTTTTTCCAATGATTTGTGGCTCCGGAGGGTCGAAAAGTAGGCTCGCTAAAGCAGCGGGTGCGGCGCAAAGCAAATTCGAAGTCAAAATGTGCAAAACACACCAGGTTCGGACCATTTTTGTAAGTTGAGATGCCGAAAAAGCGCACGCCGTTGTTCCAAGTCAAAATGTACAAAACACTGACGTCGGACCACTTTTGGAAGTTGCAATGTCGAAAAAGTGCACGCCGTTGTGGCGCGAAGCACATTTCGAAGTCAAAATGTACAAAACACACCCGTCTCGGAGCACTTTTGGAAGCTGAGATGTTTAAAAAGCTTACGCCGTTGTGACGCGAAGCACATTTCCAAGTCAAAAGGTTAAAACGCCACATGTTCGCGCCACTTTTGGACATTGAAGCGTCGTTTTGGCCAAGGGGTTCTGCACCTTGCCAAAAGCGAGCAAAACGTGAGGGTTTTGTAGCATTTCCAAAAAACGATGGCAGGCGTGGGACATTCAAGAGGATCTGCAAAGATGCATTTCGCGTGGCAGGCGCAGTACAAGAGACGTGTTCATCAGAGATGTTAGGAGGTCAGGGCGCTGATTTCCTGAAAATGGCTGCATTTTGGAGCATCAGATCTTCAGATTTGCTAAGATGAGGCGCAGCACTTCGTATGACCTGGTATCACTTTTTCATGGCAGGTGCAGCACTTTACACAGATGGAGTGGAAAAAATGCAAGACACATTAGTACGAGGCCGTCAGCTCTGCACTCAACTTTCCATTTATGAAGGAAGTCTCACAGAATTGTTTCGTCTTTGATGTTGTCAACTTCCAAAATTGAGGAAGTCTCGCAAAATTGCGTCGTTTTTGATATTGTCAAGTTGGAAAATTGCAGGCGTCTCGCAGAATTGCTGCGTTTTTGATGCTGTCAACTTCGAAAATGGAGGAAATCTCGCAGAATAGCTTCGTTTTCAAGCTTGCAGGTAGACAGATAGATAGACAATTACAACTACAGCTAATTACAGTTACATCTGCGACTACAACTACACTACATTTCGCTACACTACACTAATTACACTACACTACAACTACAATGTTACAACTACAACTACACTACACTACACCACACTAATTACACTACACTACACTATGCTAATTTCACCACACTACAACTACCACCACAAATACAACTACAACTACAACTATAACATACTACAACTACAACTACAACTACAATTGCATTACACTACACTACACTAACTACACTACACTGATTACACTACACTAATTACACTGCACGAAACTACACTACACTACACTGCGCTAACTACAACTACAATGACAGCTACAACTACAACTACAACTACTCTACACTACAGTAGGCTACACTATACTACACTACAGCACGCAACACAACAGTACACTACACTACGCTACGTTGCACTACACTAATTACACCACAACTGCAACTGCAACTACGACTACACTACAGCACGCTACATCCAGAAGTTGTGGGTGACGTGACCACTGCAACCATTGCAACCACTCCAAAAAACACAACTCCAACCACTTTTCAGTCCATCAGTGGACTCGCTCTGCCATCCATGCATCACAACAACTCACCTCTCCTATAGTGTCCTATCTTGGAAACATCCGCCACCGCCGTGCGCGGTACTACTGGCAGAGAAATATATCCAAGAAATGCGCGGCTATGGGGATAGCTTTAATCTTGTAAACCCCATACTGTAAAGGGGATAGAGGTTGATTGGTTAATGAACTGGGGTTTCACTTGCTGGCTCAGTGGCAATCATCACACCCCAGAATAGGAATACCTATCAAGCAACCTAGAAACATGGAGATTGATTTACTGGGGTAAACCCAATAATAAACCTACCATTTGGGTTGGTTTTTTACCACCCGTTTATAGTAATAATTACTAGGGATTGTTTATTTTTGCGTTCCCACATGGCATATAATTGTACAGGGGTTAGTCTGAAAACGCGGTACACCTTGAAAGTGCTATTTGAATGGCGAAAATGGTGATAAACCACTGGATTTCCGTCCCTATTTTCAGACAAACCCCATCTGGAAAAATTATACCAACCTCACTGCAACGTCACTGGAATGATGCTTAGTAGAGGGAACTATCCCATTAGAATTCATCCAATACGTATATATGCATATACATTTGTATATATGCATATACATTTGTATATATGCATATACATATGTATGTATGTAATGTATGTAACGTAATGAAATGTAATGTAATGAAATGTATGCACTTGTATCCATATTCATGTCGATATGTAATATTATTTGCAATTGGATCCAAAGGGGCGGAGGGATCCTGTGATCTCAAGTGCCACGCGTTTTTTTTATCCCATCCGAAATCGATAGGCTGGGAATCAAAGTGATCCCGTGATAGAAAATCATGGGGCCATACAAAGAATTCTTCTGAAGAATAAAATAGACCATCCACTGGGTTTTGTTCTAGAAAAGCCCAGGTTTGCAACTCGGGAGATGTTTACGCAACGAAGTTGGGCTAACAAGGCGCCATTGAACTGGATGAAGCTGTGCATTGGAGGGATGGTCATTAACCCACCATGAACAATGGGAATGTTTGCAAATGTTTGTAATGTGGGAAACCCAATGCCATAAACCTACCATTTGGGACGGTTTACATAACCCGTTTATGGTGATTTGGGGGATGGTTTGTTATTGGGTTTACCACATTGCTAGTAGTATCCCCATTAATGACATAATTATCCCACAATTTTGTTAGTAACCATCATTAATTAATCCAATAATCCATTGGAATTGGGGATACTGCCAGTAAAACAATAATAAATTACCCATGTTTTCATGGTTTATACCACCCATCTATGGGAAAGTTGGGGATGGTGGATCCTATTGCTTAACATGAATTGTCATGGCCACGGGAAAAAAAAACACTTTCATGGAGGGATGAACATCGCCCATTCATCCCATGTTTTGATGACGGTACATGGCCTCGTACATCATCCGCGGACTAAGATGATCAGTACAGCAAGCAGAATTTGACTCCGGAAAGTCACCTATTGTCAGTATTTAAAGATCATTGAAGGATAATTTTCACCCATTTTCCATTTTGTTCAGTATTTTTCTGGTTGGTGGTTTCAAACATTGTTTTTATTGTCCATTTCATATATGGGATGTCATCCCAACCCCATTGACGAACTCATATTTTTCAAGATGGTAGGTATACTACCATTTTCCCATATATTGGGAATAAACATCATCCCAACTGACTCCATCATTTTTCAGAGGGTTGAAACCACCAACCAGTTTTTCGGATCTGTGGATTGCGAGGGAAAAACCATGGCACCGATTTGCGAGGTCATTACCTTGGCGTATTATCCCGACGGTCGACAAGAGCAGTTGCTGCGAGAGCACGGTACCGGGGGGCCCTGGGGTGGGCCCTGGGTGGAACTGGTGGTGAATCCCAAATCAACAAGAATTGGAATCAAAAGTTAGGGTAGAACTAACTGACCCTCAGGAAAATGCATGATAATGGGTAAAATATGGTAAAAGTGGGAATATACTGACTGATTTCTGGCTGTTCTTTTTACCCGCTCCTCTTGATGTTCCTTTAAAAAGGCGGGATGTTGATGTGGAACACCAACCAGTTGTGGCATCCATCAGCACGCCAGGTATAGCTGAGCCGGGCCCTGAAGCCGAACTGGATCATGGGTTTTAGCAGGAAAACCCCTATAGTTCAATGTTATTTAAAACAAAAAATAGACTGGGTTTCCCCAATCCATGAAAAAATATGAAAATTTCAGTATGCTTGGTTTGCCCTTTATCCCATGATATCATGATATTCTCATATATCCACCATGTTTCCCTGGATGTTCGCTGCTCCGATGGATTTTTCGTCCGAGGCAAGCTGATTTGCTGCACATGATGAGCTACGACCAAGGCGAAGAGCGAGGTTTCCTAAGTCATGGGAGTTCCCCTAAATCGTTCATTTATAGATGGATTCTCCATTATAAACCAACCAGCTATTGGGGTACCCTCATTTATGGACACCCCCAGATAGATTGATTGATTGATTGATTGATTGATTGATTAGATTAGATAGATTAGATAGATAGATAGATAGATAGATAGATAGAGAGAGATAGAGAGATAGAGAGATAGAGAGATAGAGAGATAGAGAGATAGAGATAGAGAGATAGAGATAGATAGAGATAGATAGAGATAGATAGAGTCTAGAGGTAGATAGAGATAGATAGAGATAGATAGAGATAGATAGAGTCTAGAGGTAGATAGAGATAGATAGAGATAGATAGAGATAGATAGAGATAGATAGAAAGAGATAGATAGATAGATAGAAAGACAGACAGATAGATAGATAGAGATAGAGATAGATAGAAAGAGAAAGACAGATAGAGATAGATACATAGAGAGATAGAGATAGATAGATAGAGATAGATAGAGATAGATAGAGATAGATAGAGATAGATAGAGATAGATAGATAGAGATAGATAGAGATAGATAGAGATAGATAGAGATAGATAGAGATAGATAGAGGTAGATAGAGATAGATAGAGATAGATGGAGATAGAGAGAGATAGATAGAGATAGATAGAGATAGATAGAGATAGATAGAGATATAGATAGAGATATAGATAGAGATATAGATAGATAGAGATAGATAGATAGATAGATAGATGGAGATAGATAGATAAAGATAGATAGATAGATAGAGATACATAGATAGATAGACATAGATAGATAGATAGATAGAGATAGATAGATAGAGATAGATAGAGATAGATAGATAGATAGAGATGGATAGAGATAGATAGATAGATAGATAGAGGTAGATAGAGTTAGATGGAGATAGATAGAGATAGATAGGGATAGATAGAGATAGATAGAAAGAGATAGACAGATAGAGATAGATACATAGAGAGATAGAGATAGATAGATAGAGATAGATAGATAGATAGAGATAGATAGAGTCTAGAGGTAGATAGAGATAGATAGAGATAGATAGAGATAGATAGAGATAGATAGAGATAGATAGAGATAGATAGAGATAGATAGATAGATAGATAGAGATAGATAGATACAGATAAATAGAGATACATAGAGAGAGATAGATAGATAGATAGATAGACAGATAGATAGATAGACAGATAGATAGATAGACAGATAGATAGAAAGAGATAGATAGATAGAGATAGATAGAGATAGATAGATAGATAGAGATAGATAGAGATAGATAGATAGATAGAGATAGAGATAGATAGATAGATGGAGATAGAGATAGAGAAAGATAGATAGATAGATAGATAGACAGATAGAGAGATAGATAGATAGATAGATAGGTAGATAGATAGATAGATACAAAGATAGAAATAGATAGGCATATTGATAGATACATTGATAGATAGATCGATTGATAGAGATAGATTGATAGAGATAGATAGATAGAGATAGATAGAGAGAGATAGAGAGAGAGAGATAGATAGATAGATAGACAGAGAGATAGATAGATAGATAGACACTGTGCGTATGTATGTTTATTTTTATGTATGTATATATATCTTTATATTTATATTTATATATGTCATAGGGAGTCATGAACGGAAATATAGTGGGAATATCATGAAAGAATACAAATCCCCATCCAAGGGTTTAACTCATAAAGGTTGTTTGATTTCATGGTGTCTTGCTTCAAATTGGTGATTGTAATGCGGAAAATGATGATAAATCAGAAAAATTGGTACCCTATATTGCAAACCCAAATAACTCTGGATATGTCTGGATAACTTACAATGACCTCACGCCGTTTTCCACCACTGGAATGATGGGAGTTGGATTCGGGGAATCCCCAAATGACCGAACTTTTCAGGTTGGTGAATCATTATAATCCAAACAATCTGCTGGTCATGTCATATCACATTTCCTCCAAATCGGTGGAAAGGTCGCCAAAATTGTTTCCAGTCATCGGATTGCTGTAGCAATCACGTGTGGGGTATACTGCCAATATACTCTAGTTCCATAGACGCCAATTTCTCCGGTGTTTTTTAAGTCTTGAACCGATTCCGTGGGGTTTTCCATGGTGTTCCCCAAGAATTTGGCAAAAAATGCGAGGTGGAAGTCACCATAGCACCTTGGACTACGGCAAGAAGACTGCGGATCAAGGGTCCGGGGCTTAGCTCATCCCCGCCATGGGAATTTCTGGGATCTAATTATAGGAAACTCCATGGCCTAAGTGGGGATATTATGGGATATTTATCCATATAGGCTATGGGATATCCCATAGTGAGAATATCCCCACATAAATATACATAAATTATGAGAAACTAGTGGGATATTTACGATAGATTCACATAGTCACCATCTCCAAATTTGAGGTTTTATGAATTTGACCCCTGGAGCCCAAGGATGACATCATGACCCCTTTGGTGTTCCTGGGATGGCATCGGGTGAATCCATTTGTTTAATCCACTGGGATCGGGGGTTACCTGCAGCAGATACTAAGGACGATCCTCCACTAAATAATTTTGATATCTGGAAATCATGAGGAAAATCCCAAAAATTCAACGATTAGTCAATCAATGTCAATCATCACCCCATTTCCATACGCACCCAAATGGCAAAACTCCAGGGATTCATTCACCAATAACTCGTCGTTTTCAAGCCATGTTGGGGCCCGAGGGATTCAAAATGATTAGATAGACTTTACAAATCAGCCGGCACATGTTTTGGATATGTACATTCAGCATATGCATATATATATATATATTACATACAGTATATATTATATATATACACACAGATTATATATATATAATTATCTAACAGTGTACATATATATATATATGTATACATAGATTATATGACAGTGTATATATGTATATATATATATGATACCTGTATATATATATATGTATATACATAAATACATGTACACAGTCAGATATCGCTTTATGGCGTTTTATCGCCGTACCATTCTTCGCTGTTCATCCACGTCCAGGAAACGCATCCTACCTGCACGACAGTTGACGATGGGCGTGCCGTTCTATGGCCCGGGGCTTCAGCGAAATGGAACGAGTTTCGTCCCAGTTTCCCAATGGAAACATCCACCGGACTTGGGGAATCTGTTTTTTTTTGGAGGAAAAAAAGTCGATGAAGGGAAATGAAGGGACTATTCAAAGATATGTGTGTGTGTGTTTTTTCTTGGAAACTTCTATGAATATTTAGATCAGTCAAAGCTGACTTCTTCCTAAGCCCATTTTAGGGGGAACTTGATGACAAAACGGGTTTTTCTATAAATAGTGGTTCATCTTTCCTGGCCGAGCATGTGGCATCACGTTTTCACTTGCCAAGTTTGTTTACCAGGTAAAACACAAACAAAAAATATGGGGTGCGATAACCAATGATACTAGGGAAGTCTTGGGTTGGTGAATCAAAAATGTGTTTCAGTTGCCTTCCCATCTTGGTATCATTAGCCCACTTCATTGCTTCGAATGGCGATGTGTTCCAAGCAATATTTGACGTGACGGATTGATGCGATCGACTGGATTGGTGACCGTGCCCGGTTCCATTCCGCAAGACCTCCCTGCCATTGTTTGGGGTCACTGGTGGTCACTGGTTATCTCATGTGTTTAAAACAATAAATCAGAGATAATCAGTATTTTTGCTCAGCATCCCGTGACACATGTCGTGTTTGCTCGTTTTTTTAAGGATGTTTTTTGTTGGTTGCTTGAAGATACTTGTTCCGACAATTTTCAACATGTGTTTTGATGACGGCTCGAATTTTCCATATGGTTTTGTTTCGGGGTGTTGTTTTTTCATGGAGATTGCAAGAACTATTTTGGTAACTACATCCATAGTAACTATGTTGCTACACAACTTACCATGTTGCTCTTTTGGTCTGGTGAAAATCCCATGGTGTTTTTTCCAGGCCGCCACAGCCGAAGTGGTGAATGGACCACCTATGAAGACTTGGCGACTTGGGCCGAGTGGTGGCTTCAATGGTGGACTCAATGGAAATCAGTAGTGAAACCAGGTTCCAATGGTATTCCAAGGTGGTGCCCCAGTTTGTGAACGCTAAGTTGATGCAAATAAGTCCAATATCTAGTATGGGGGATATAACTATAGTTAATGGGGATTATAAATCAACTTATAACTAGGGGAGCACCACATTGTAGGTATTTCATAGGTATTACATAGGTATCTCCTAGGTCCGAGGTATTTGATAGGCACTTGATAGGTACTTGATAGGTGTGGGATGGGTTTTTGACAGCTATTTGATAGGTATGTAATGTAGTAACCCGTAGCCCCTCGACCATGGACCATGGGTTGAAATCCCATCCTGCCAACCGATTTGGCCATTTGGACGGCCACAAAACGGTGGATGGTCGACGAATTGGTCTGATATTGGTTACGACTAGAAGTATTCGTCTTGTATTTTTTCATGTATGCGTGAATATTCTTTAGACATGTATAGTAACTATATCCATACATATATATATACATATATATACATACATATATATATACATATATATATATACACACCCGTACATAGATCGCTTGGTTTTTTATCAACAGCCGTTGGATTGGTGGAATCACTAGGTGTTCAAGCTACCAATTTCAACCGGTCAGGTGAGACATTGTTTGAAGAAAGGCCATGGCTCTAGAAAGAAACTTTTCTATAGAGAGAGAGAGAGAGAGTTGGTTTTGACATGTGAACTATACTGGTTTGATAGGGATTGTGTACTTGACCCCCTTGGAATTCCGGTTAACCAGGCGGTATTTCATGGGATGAGATACCTGCTCAGCACGTCATCTTGTACAACTGAAAGTCAGCCTCGCCACTTATGCGTCGTATCCAGAAATGATTGCTGATTTCAATAACTGCGTATGATGGGCTATTGATGATGTGAATTGGTGATTCATTTGCTTATTTGAGATTGGTGATTCTTGGTGATTAGTGGCGGTAATTGGTGATTATTGCTGACTATTGGTGGCTATTGGTGTTTTTCATCATTTCACGTGATTGAAAATAAGCTATACCCCCCAACATGCAGTTTGACTAGTGGAAAATCATGGGAATCCATTGGAATTTAGGTTTTTTTCCTAAACAAACCCACATGATCTACCCATTTGGTTAACACCTTGGGGACCGACTGAACCCACATGATCTATCCATTTGGTTAACACCTTGGGGACCGACTGAACCCACTAAAGCAGATCACAAACATAGCAATAGGAAATGCCTGCGCTAGATGGAGGCTAGCGGGGAAGTATCATCGAACGTGGGGCATTGTCCAGCAAGCCATGTTTGATGACACCGGAGACCCTCTGTTAAACTATCAGTTTGCTGTGGAAAATCACCATGTGTAAAACGGTAAATAGGCCATGGTTTCAACAGCTATGTTTTGGCTAAGCTGAATCCCCCATGGGAGTCAAACAGTTCGACCCCGAGAATAGCCGCTGTGGCAAAAAGTTTGGAAAGACTTGAGCCCTTCAAATTAGACCTCTGTTGATAGGTTAATGAATTGGGAGTGACATTAACTGGTTTATTGGTGGTCGAAGTGATATAAGCATTATTATGTTGGGTTGCGATACTCGTTGTTATTAAAAATGGTTTGTTGGTTTTGAATTTGGAGTGATACATGATTACCCTCTGGAAATTGAACATAGCTATTGAAAATGGCCCATTTATAGTTGATTTACCTATTAAAAATGGTGGTTTTTCATCGTTATGTCAGTTTACCAAAGGGTATAACATATTATCACCGGTATTCCATGGGAATCCCCGAAGCCATCCGAAGCCAAGGTTCAACGCCACTGGCCCTTAGACTTCACCCGTGATGCGGTCGATGCACCGGACAAAGGCACCGGATTGATGTGAAAATTATGGGGAAACCCCCCAAAGCTGATGGTAAATATTGTTTAAACAGGTTTAATCATCATTCCTTCAATGGCACGGACGGCTTCTGAGTTTTTTTGAGCGCACAGCGGCAGCAGTGCGGCGCAGCACGCGGTTCATGTCCAACAGATTGCTTTGTACACATCGCAAAGGCCGACGGGAGAGTTTGCCCCCGCCAGGCTTCCATGGTATTCCACAAGCTGTGGGACTAATTACATCATATAGAAAAAGCCTAAGATGGCGTCAGCACAGGGATGTCGGGACCCTGGCTGAACGCTGAATTTGATAGGCACGGCCCTGTCGGACATGCCCACCGGTCCACAAACTAACCATCAGTTCGCGCAACTGTTGCGGCGCACACTACAGAAGAAAGGAAAATCCAAATGGCGCAAGTCCGATTGAGAGGACCAACCCACATAAAAGCTGAGAGAAGCAATGCTGAGCACCGGTCTCCCAAAGTTGGGTAAAAAACACGAAAAGTGCGACCCATTCTGAGCCGGCTCAAGCCACGTGCAATCACTGTCGACATGCTGCCCCGCTCGCTTGCTGCCTCAATCCGAAGGATGCCGCTCCCCAAAGACATACTGGTGCCTTGTCGGACATCAAACTACAAAATCGACAGAATTGCAGCAAGCCACTTGCATCGGACATGCAGGCCACTCTGTCCCACAAGTGCTCTCGAAGTTGAAACCAAGACGGCCATTCAGGGTAGCATCCCTGCTGTTCCGGCTGAAGAGAGTCATCTGCCAGGTGCCAAACAAGCAAGCCAGCCATCAAGGCACTGAAATCGAGACAGGCAATGAAACGTGCGCGGACTACCTGTAGAGCAGCGCTGTTTGTGATCACATCCTTCACACGACTGGGGGCAGCCGTGA